AGAAAGAAAGAAAGAGAGAGCGAGCAAGAGAGAGACAGAAAGAAAGAAAGAAAGAAAGAAAGCGAGAGCAATAAAAAGAGAGAAAGAGAAAGAGAGAAAGAGAGAAAGCAATAGAAAGCGAGAGAGAGAGAGAGAGAGAGAGAGAGAGAGAGAAAGCAAGAGAGAGGGAGAGAAAGAGAAAGAAAGAAAGAAAGAGAGAGCAATAGAGAGAGAGAAAGGGAAAGAGAGTGAGAGAAAGAAAGCGAGAGAGAGCGAGAAAGAGAAAGACAGAGAGAGCGTGTAATAGAGAGAGAGAGAGAGAGAGAGAGAGAAACAAAGAGAGAGAGAAAGAGAGAGAGAGAGAGAGGTGGGAGGGGGAGATACGTACACAGGTGTAGCAAACTTCATGTCTCCTGCAGATGTCACCGAAGAATTGCTGGACGTGTGGTGGCGCCCCCATGCGCCTCGCTATCTCGCAGTCCGTGCTCAGCTCCTCTACTGCTGGACATTCGTCATCATTATCGTCATCATCGTCATCGTCTTCGCCGTCGTCTCTACTAGCGTAGGATCGCAGCAGGTTCATGAGTTCTGCCCTTCTCTCCGGTGAATAGAGACTGTTGTTTTCCTCCTCCTCTTCTTCCTCCTCCTCATCCTCATCTTCATCCTCTGCAACATCACATAGTTACGGGTTGATACCGTGTGTGTTGTTTCCCCGCATCCAAGTATAGCTATCATTAACCCCCGCCCCCGACACCACCAACATCACCGCCGCTACTGTCGCCTTTAACACCACCGCCGCCACCGCTGCTGCTGCGCGTGGATTTATATGATGACTAAACTCTTTTTCATGACGATCTTAGTTCGCCATGTTTCGTCACATGGCGTCGCTGAATATTCAAAATTAATTGATCAATCCGTTGACGTGTAGTAAAGTAAGTAGTATTTTCAGACTACGGTCTGGGTTGCCATGGCAGCTGGAGCGAATATAATTCAAGATGGCAGGGAAAAGTGCAACAACAATGTAGTCGAATAAAACCATTTCGTGTTGCAGTGGTGAGAAGGAACAGTCTCCCGAGTAAAGAAATAAAACCGAGAGTCTAAGAGATAAAAACCCATTTCATTTCACGTTTAGATAATTGTCGAGCACCGAAATACAGCCAATGTTGTCTAACGTAGATATAATGGTTGACTTTGCTTCAGGGGAGCGAACCGTGACCTTGCCATTTCATGCGTGCTGTAACGCGACTCAGAGTTTACATAGCGCTATCATAGTAAACATTAAACGAAACGAAAGAGAAAAGTGGAGGCGGGGAAGGGAGTGGATGCAAGGGGAGAGAGCAGGGCCGGGGAGAAAGTGAAGGCGGTAAAAGTAGAGTTGACGGGAGAGAGTGGAGGCGGTAAGAGTAGAGTTGAGGGGAGAGAGTGAAGGCGGTAAGAGTAGAGTTGAGGGGAGTACAAATGTTGAAGGCAGATAAAAAATGTTGAAGCTATAGACATGGCAAATGTTGAAGGCAGATAACGAATGTTGAAGATAGAGATGACAAATGTTAAAGGCTGATGACGTATACTGAACACAGCTGACAAATGTTGATGGTCCAGATAACTATTCAACTGCAGACGTGTAAGCAATTAGACATAATAACGTTGCCCTGACGGGTCAGTCCAATCAAACAACAGAGGTGCAAACATATTAGCTAACCCTAACGAACATCTATGATCTAAACCTATATGATAGCGATACTTATGAAGATGATAGTGATAGTAATATCGATAGTAAAGGTGATAGTGATAATGATAGTGATAGTAAAGTTGATAGTGATAATGATAGTGATAGTGATAGTTATAGTGTTGGAGATGACTATTAGCGCTGTCATGGTTACGTCATCCTACCTAGTGTAAACCAGGAAGTGTAGAATAAGCGTGAAGCACGTCACCGCTCGTTAGCACAGAATTTTGTATTTGCGATCAATTTTTAAAAAGTGTAAGCACAGCTCGCATTGGCTCTTTGTGATACCTGTTTATCTTAACATGACGTTACGTTTTTTAAATTTCGTAGTTTTAAAGTGAGGTTCGCGTAAAGCGTACGTGCGGTGTCTCGTTGTCATAGTTACTCTTAATCTCGCCACACAGACACAATCGCAATCGCAAACACTCGACGCGAAAATGAACGTCGTAAACCAACACCTATTTCAAATATGTCGCCTACTAGGTGAGACCGTCAATGCTTACTCTGTCACGAAGTTCCGTCGTCGCGTTTGACGATATATATTTACGGAGTTATTGGCTTTGCCTAACCAACCACTCTTGATCGATAGTGCAAACGTACAATGCACTGCATTATATATGAGCGCCCCTTCTGACACAAAAACCATATTAAAAAAATCGATTTCTGGCTTCCATAGAAAGATGGTTAGGTGAGGGCGACATGCCCCAAATACCTCCATAACGCACTGCGCGCTGTACCAATAATCCCCTCAAATTCTATCTTCACCGCCTTCACTCTCTCCCTCAACTCTACTCTTACGCTTTTCACTCTCTCCCTAAATCTACTTTACGCCTTCATCGTCTCCTCATACTTCTACTTTACGCTTCCACTCTACTTTTACCGCCTTCGACTTTTTCGCCCTTCAACTCTACTGGCTTACCGCCCCACTCTCACCCCCTCAACTTCTACTTCTTACTCGCCCTTTCACGTCTCGCTGCCCGGATCAACTTCCTACTGTACTTACGCCTCCACTTCTTTACTCTTCTCCCATCAATCTTACTGCTTACCGCCATTCACTCTCTGCCCCTAAAACTCTCTGCTTACGCCTTCACTCTCTCCCACGCAATCTACTTTTCCCGCTCTTCCTTCTCTCCCCTAACTGCTACTCTTACCGCCTTCACTCTCTCCCCTCAACTCACTCTTACCGCTATTCACTCTCTGATCCCCTCAACTCTACTCTTACCGCCTTCACTCTCTCCCCTCAACTCTACTCTTACCGCCTTCACTCTCTCCCCTCAACTCTACTCTTACCGCCTTCACTTCCCGCAACTCTAACTCTTACCGCCTTCACTCTCTGCCCTGTCAACTCTATCGCTTACCGCCTTCACTCACTACCCTAACGTCTACTCTTACGCCTTCACTACTTACTCCCATCAACTCTATCTTTAGCCGCCTTTCCACTCTCTCCTACACTCTACTCTTACCGCTTCACTCATCTCCCCTCATACTCTACTCTTACACGCCTTCCTCACTCCCTAATCTACTGCTTACCGCTCGTCCTTTCTACCATCGAACTCTACTCTTACCGCCTTACTCCTTCCCCTCAACTCTATCTTACCTGCTTCACTCCTCCTCAACTCTTACTCTTACGCTTCCTCTCTACATTCAACTCTACTTCTTACCGCTTCACTCTCTCCTCACTTACTCTTACCGCCTTCACTCTTCCCTAACTACTACTCTTACTTACACCGCCTTTCCTCTCTATCCCGCTCAACTCTACTTCTGTGACGCGCTACACTCTCTCCGTCAAGCTACTCTTTTACGCTTCATCTTTCTCCCCTGGCCTGCTCTTCGCCCTTGCATCCACTCCTCCCCGCCTCCCTATTTTCTCTTTCGTTTCGTTTAATGTTTACTATGATAGCGCCTATAGCTAATACTCTTGAGTCGCGGTTACAGCACGCATGGTAAATGGCAGGTCACGCGGTCGCCTCCCCTGAAGCAAGTCAACGATTTATTCTTACGCTTAGACACATTGGCTGTAATTTCGTGTGCTCGACAATTAGATGAATCATACGTATTGAATGAATGGGTTTTTATCTCTTGACTACTCGGTTTTATTTTTTACTGCGGGGGAATGTTCTCTCACTGCCTAACACGAATGCAGGTTTCTTTTATTCGACTACAGTGTTGTTGAACTTTTCCGCTTGGCCATTCGGAATTGAATTATATTTCGCTCCAGCCTGCCCATGGCACCCAGACGCTTAGTCTGAAAACTCTACTTACTTTTACTACACGTCAGGATTTATCCTC